TTACTATGGGGTAAAATACTGGTCAAAAATACGTGTAGTATTATACGTGTAGTATTATACAAGTATCAAACATGTAGTGGCGTTTGGAACGTGTACTTAAATACATGTTTTCAATTAAATACAGGTTTGTTAAACATGTATTTGTAAAGAAAGTGACAAGATGCATGAGTCTGGTACATGTATCACGTTCTTGATACATGTATTGAAAACAAAGAGACAGGACGTGATTGGTTGGTACATGTATCACAGTAAGGAGAATACAGGACATGACTGGTTGTTTTATTAATCCGTTTTAGTTAATGAAATACAAGCGAGGGTTGAAAGTGACAGATATTATACTTGACCATGTTGAAAACCTTTTACACCTTTTGCCGTTCATTAACAGAAAATGTACATTCATTTGTGCCAATAGTCGTATGAATAACGTGTAATGTACTTTCATCAACACCACAAGTAACATCATTAGCACGAATCAGCTTTCGATAACGATAACTGAATACAATAGAATATAACGTTGACCCTCATGATTGTCCAAACGCGTTATAGATTGTCAATGATTATGCTAATAGCACTAATGAATTTTCACTTTTGTGTAAATGATTGTCCATAAATGCAATTGTTTGTCGTTTGGTGTTATTGAAGTTGAATTTCGCGCACAAGAAAATACAATCCGCGCATATGAATGTACGAACGCGCTATTGATTGTCCATTGATGCCTATGAATGTACACGCATATTCAATTGTCGTTATTGAAAGTTGATCCGTGCTAATGATGTTACTCGTGGTGTTGATGAAAGTACATTACACGTTATTGATACAACTATTGGCACAAATGAATGTACATTTTCTGTTAATGAACAGCAAAAGGTGTAATAACTAACAGAGGTCAACAGACATGAATAACTACTAAGTAAAGTATACTAGTCGTTACTGACTGCAAAATGAGTGGCTTTTCATAAGAAATAAGCTGAGGTAAAAAAATACACGGAATCAAATTGTTGATAAGCTATTATATTACCAAGAACGTCTCTAAGCCCACTATGAAATATGCTGCTTTATAGTCTCACAGTTAAACATCGAAGGACAGCTTCCTTCAGTATTAAATGACGATGTGCAACCAACTTGCCGTTCTGGTTAAAGAACTTTCGTCAAACTGT